TGGAGTCCCAAAGGGAAAGAAGAGAGCTAGACTGGGGCAGAAGCATAGGATTTTGATAGATAATGCATAGGATTTTGACAAATTGACAGAAGACATCAAAAGGCAGATTCAAAAAAAGTTTGAAAATTTTTCCCTCACTCTGTTCTTCTGAAGCTGAAAATGATACAAGTATCTTCTACACCAGGAGTTAGCAAACTTTTTCTGTAAAGAGCCAAATAGTATGTATTTTTGGATTTGAGGGCCATGTATAGTTTCTGTTGCAACTATTCAACTCTGCTGTTGCAGTGTGAAAGCAGCTATAAACAATACATAAACAAATGAATGTGGCTGTTTCCATAAAATTTATGAACACTGAAATACACATTTCATATAATTTTCTTCGTGTTCTTTTAACATATCTATCACCTCATAGTTACTTTTTTTTTGTGGTGGTGGTGGTGGTGGTAGAGGTAAGAACACTTGAGATCTACTTTCTTAGCAAATTTCAAGTATACAATATAGTCAACATGCTATACATTAGATCTCCAGAATTTATTCATCTTGCATAACTGAAACTTTGTACCATTGACCAACATATGCCATTTCTCCCACCTCTGAACCCCTGGAACCACCCATCTACTCTGTGCTTCTATCAATTCAACTACTTTAGATAACATATGTAAATAAGATCATACAGCATTTGTCTTTCCATATCTGGCTTATTTCACTTAACATAATATCCTCCAGGTTCATTCATTTTGTCACAAATGGCGGGATTTCCTTAAGGCTGAAAAATATCCACACACACACACACACACACACACACACACACACACACACACACACATTCTTTATCCATTCATCCATCAATGAACATTTGTTTCCATATTTTGGCTATTGTGAGTAATGCTGAAATGAACGTGGAAATACAGCTATCTCACCAAGATACTGATTTTATTTCCTTTGGATGTATACCCCCAAGTATGACTGCTGGATCATGTGGTAGTTCTATTTTCAACTTTTGAAGAAGAACCTCCATACTGTTTTCCATAATAGTTGTACCAATTTACATTCCCACTAACAGGGTACAAGGGTTCCTTTTCTACACATCCTTGCCAACACTTGTTATCTTTTGTAGTTTGATAATAGCCATTCTAACAGGTGTGAGGTGATATTTCATTGGTGTTGTGATTCGCATTTACCTGGTGATTAGTGATGCTCAGCACCTTTTCATATACCTGCTGGCCATTTCTATGTCTTCTTATGAGACATGTCTATTCAGGTCCCCCTTTTTATTAGGTTCCTTCTATACTATGTCATCTATACCTTTGTTGAGAGTTTTTATCATGAATGGATATGAAATTTTGCTCGAGTTCCTTATATATTTTGGATATTAACCCTTTATCAGATACGTGGCTTGCAAATGTTTTCTCCCATTCAGCAGGTTGCCTTTTCATTTTGTTGACTGCTTGCTGTGCAGAAGCTTTTTAGTTTGATGCAATCCCACTTGTCTATTTTTGCTTTTGTTGCCTGTGCTTTTGGTATCATATCTTAAAAAAAATCAATGCTCAGACCGATGTCAAGAAGCTTTTTCCTTGTTTCTTTCTAGGAGTTTTACAGTTTCAGGTCTTACATTTAAGTCTTTAATCCAATTTGAGTAGATTTTTGTTTATGGTGTGAGATAAGGTCCAATTTCATTCACCTGCATATGGATATACTATTTTCCTGGCACATTTATTAAGGAGACTATTCTTTCCCCATTGAGTGCTCTTGACACCCTTGTCAAAGAGCAGTTGACCGTAAAGGCGTGGACTTATTTCTGGGCTCTCTATTCTATTGGTCTATATGTTTGTTTTTTTCTTTTTTAAATTTGTTTTCTTTTTTTAAATTTCAGAGTATCATGGGGGTACAAACATTTTGGTTACATATGCTGCCTTTGTGTCGCCAAAGCCAGAGCTAAAAGTGTGCCCAATGCCACACTGTTTTGATTACTGTAGCTTTGTAATATACTTTGAAATCACACAGTGTGATGCATCCAG